GAGCGACATCTCCTGTCGAAGAACATCTCCAAAGCACTATGAACCATCTGACTAGTAAGTAAAACCTCAAACATTCAAAAGTTTATAAAATATTCAAAAAAATATATCAAATAAATATCAAATATTTCCTGTATGTCCTACAAGGCCATCTTGTTTAACTCTGCACTGAGAGGACACTTCATACACAACAACCTACAGAAGGGTCCATCATAATTTGAAAAAACACACAGATGATAATAAAAAAAAGATCGTTGAAATTAAAATTAATAACTGTAAGACAGAACCAGAGTAGTGTGAGCGTACCTCACTTCAAACTGTAACGGTCTATATGTATATTATTTTCTAAACTTTAGTGAAGTGTTTGTTCAAGTAGACTTTGTTGGGAATTGACTCACGCAATTAATTCACACCCGGTTCCTGAATCTAGTGAGTCTAATTTGGTTTGATCATGCACGCTACTAAAGCTGCTCATGTGGTTGATTCACAGACATATTTCATAACATAAACACATTAATATAATAGCAACTCGTCAATTAATCATGAATGTTCCACACCTCCACACGACAATGAAAAACACTCAAACGGATGATATTCATTCATACGTAGCCTACATAATGCACCGCGGTAAAACGGTAAATACGCACAAACATTTAGCAAAATATCAATATTAGCAGCGGAAATACTTGTGGTAATGAATAAACGCACCTGTTACATGAAGAATTTGAGCGAAGCAGGAGACGGCGATGATCCCGACAGCACATATGAAGAGCCGATAGAAGAGCCGCTGCCGTCTGGATGCCAACACCGCCTTCATCCCTCCACACCTCTCAAAACATGTCCATTCAAGAGAGAAGCCCTCTTCTTTCATTCACACCACCTATATTGGCCTTTCTTTTCAACATACGGCGGACTAGCTTGCTTAAATTCAGCCATACGCCTGTCGCCTCAGCATCCTATCGCTTCAATAAAGATACACCATAATCTTTCACGTAACGGTATTTTTACCCCTTCCGGAATTTTAGTAATATAAAGTTACAACGAAAATGTCTTAAACTGTCGCAGAGCACGAAAATAATAGAAATATTCAAATGTTTTCACATCTTATAAGCATTCTAATCACACCCACCTCCATCTCCATCCGTGTCCCTCTTTCTCGCGCTCTCTCCTCCCTCCACAAGGCGCCCGACTCCGTCACTGAGGGTGTTTTCCAGACTCACAACTGCGCCCTCATGCAGGGTTTACAATAATAACAACACTCTTATTCAGCTGGGGTAAATCAACACAGTTGAGTGTTTCAAGGCTAGATATACCGACCTCAAAAATATTTGGGATACTTTCCACGAATAGGGTACAAAATGGGGCCAGAAACTCTTAAAGGGGTCATATGATGCAATTTCAATTTTTCCTTTCACTTTGGAGTGTTACAAGCTCTTGGTGCATAAAGAAGATCTGTAAAGTTGCAAAGACTAAAGTCTCAAAATCAGAGCACACCTCGCTTTTCAGACCGATGAGCTTTGTAAAAATCGACGCGTTTCAGAAAGGCGGGGCATAGAGGAGAAACAATAATGTACAGTATGTGGAAAATAATGTGTTTTTTTAACCTTAAACCTCATAAACATTTCATTACACCAAATATATAATGACAAAATAATGTTCTTTTTAGCAAAGTCATATGACCCCTTTAAAATTACTGTGTTATTGTTATTATTATTTTTATCCTCATGGGCAAGAAGCAGTACTAGTAACTCTAATTTAAGTGATTCTGCAATTTTCTACATTATACTCAATTAACACTAAAGAAAATTAAATAGACATTAAAACGTAATAATAATGGCAAAAGTAATAGCTCAGTTTTTGGCTAAATTTGGCACCCTTTCACACAGTAGGAGCGAAATTATGTTTTGTAGTTATTGATAAAATATTTGTTTTCTGACAACAACTTTGGTAAAAGGGTTAAAAGTTCATGAAAACAGTCAACAGTTGGACATTTAAAGGGATAGTTCACCCAAAATTGAAAATCCATACAACTCCAATCAATAAATGGATTTGTTTTTCACAAACACGCATCTTTTTGATTCACAAGATGTTAACTGATGGACCGGAGTCGTGTGGATTATTTGTGGATTATTCTGATGTTTTTAACAGCTGTTTGGACTCTCATTCTAACTGGACCGGAGTCGTGTGGATTATTCTGATGTTTTTAACAGCTGTTTGGACTCTCATTCTAACGGCACCCATTCACTGCAGAGGATCCATTGGTGAGCAAGTGATTCTAAATTTCTCCAAATCTGTTCTGATGAAGAAACAGACTCATCTATATCTCGAATGACCTTAAATAAAGTAACTTTTCATCAAATGTTCATTTTTGGGTAATCCTTAAAGATATATCTAAAAATGAATATCACTGCATTAGATAACAAAAAAAACAGAAAACCAAATGGCATTTATTTTAAAGAAAGATTACAAACATTGGTACTGATTCAAAATGACAAATATAAGACTTGAGATAAACAATATTCAGTTCCATAAAAAAAAAACGTGTTTTATAACTCAGGACAAAAGAAAATGACAGCTTGGCATAAAGCATATTCACATTTGTTTGAACAGATTATTTGGCACATCAATCAAAAATAAATAAAATTAAAAAAAGAGCAAGAGGAGAGTAAAACAATTCAATCAGAAAAAAATACTTCCCCTTTCCAAAAAAATATTTGCTTTACGAAAGCAAAGATTGCACAATAGAACAAGGGAGAAAAAAAAGCATAATAAAATATTTAAAATTATGTACTTTACATACATCAAATTAACACCAATTAAAACCACCAGAATGCAACCGCTGCTTCAGGCTCAACAACATGCCATTCTGCATCAGCTGGGCCAATGTATTAAAATTGCAATGAGAAAATATCTATCAGTGCACACCCTACTTCATGGGCTCTAGCGAACCAGTCACCTTGAAGTTTATGCCATCTCCAGGCAGCGGGGAAGGTATCAATGGACAGAGCCAGCAGATGTACCAGTACTTGCCCAAGCATTCCCTGATGTTGGCCAACGCTCCCAGGTTGTAAGGCTGCCGTGTGGAGTACCACTCACGTGTAGTCTGTCCTTTCAGCATCAGAACCACATGAAAGAAGAGGAAGGCAGCAACCAATAGGAAGCCCACTACACAAGTGTCGGCAATGAATGCAAAAGCAAACGCTCGTGCCGTCACCTGTCCTGTGATTAAAGAAGAACAGATGTTAATGGATATTTGTGTGACAATTTAAAAGGGGTCATAAAATACATTTAAGTATTTTATTTTTTGCTATAAATCAGAATTTTCACTTCCATTTTCCACTACCTTTATGGCCCTTAGAATTAAATTTATTTAACATAACCCTAATAAATTAAATTAGTTTTTGTTGTTGCTGCACCTATTCAAAAATATGGGGTCAATAAGACTTTTTCATGTTTTTGAATGAAGTCTCTTATGCTCACCAAGGCTGCATTTATTTGGTCAAAAATACGTAACAGTAATAGTGTAAAATATTATTTACATTTTCTATTTTAATATGTATATAAAAAAATGTATTTATTCCCATGATGGCAAAGCTGAATTTTTACTTAGTAGCCATTTCTCCAGTCTTCAGTGTCACATGATCCTTCAGAAATCATTAAAAAAATGTTCAGGATTCTTTGATGAACAGAAAGCATTTATTTAAAATAGAACTCTTTTGTTACATTATACATGTCTTTACTGTTTTGATCAATTTAATGCATCCTTGCTGAATATAAATATTAAACCCCCCCCAATAAAACATTACCAACCCCAAAGTCTATGAAGTCACTCTTGCATTTTCAAAATATCCTCATCTATGTTATTTGAATTTATTCATTTAGCAGATGCTTTTATCCAAAATGACTTATAAATAAGCAACATATCAAAAACGCCAGCCAAGATAATATCACCCTATTAAAATCAGCACAATTCAACAGCTATACTGTGTTCAATACTCTGAAAAAATAGCATTTAGGTTTGCAGGGCACCAAAACACATATAGTCTAAAAAAAAAAAAAATCAACAAATGGAATATGTGGAGCCAGCGCAGCACAAGCCCTTGAAACTCTCTCACACTGGCTTCAGACCATCGTCATTGTTGAGATTTTGACTACGTAGTAAGTTTTGACTTAGAAAATGTACAGTATATTTCCACAGCACACTCAACTCTCATTTTAAAAAGTGGAGGAAAGTTTGATTTCTCATGATATTACGCATTTCTCAGAGCAGACACTGATAATAAATTTCATACTTACCAGAGACGAGCATTATCCAGGGCATGAGCAATAACAAGACGCTGTGAAATGTTACACCCTCCTTCAGGATGACAATGAAGACCTCAGCATTCATTACTACTGCATAAAGCAGCCCTGCCCACATGAAGAACAGACAGGTCAGGAAATACCGGTAATTGTAGAAACCAACACACTGGCCAAAAAACACACAGTGGTGATCACGCCGCAGCACACACACATTGCAATCGTAGCAGTGTGAGCATCGCGGAGGAGTGTGTGTCTCACACTTGTAACAGTACCTGCCATAAAAGAGGAAAATATCAAATTATAATGGTTTACTCATCCTCAAACAGAGATTTAGGAGCATAAATAAATGATATATAAACACCGTACAATCAAAACAAAACAATTACCTCCACCCTTGACCCAATGCATCGCCTCCAAGAAACACTCCGCGAATACTTGGGTTAGTTTTGACAAACAACGATGCATTCCAGGTTATATTTCCCAACATGAAGTACTGAGCGAAGAGATGCATGGCCTTCCACATGGTGGACCACTCAGTCTTCTTCTGTTCTGGCTCAAGGGGAGCCTCGACCAGCACCAAATAACTAACCTCGGCAGTGATGGAGAACACCAGCAAAGCGTTCAGAACGATAGGCAGATGACGACCGGACGACTCCACCTTACACCATAGTCTACTCATGAACCTAGCCATGTTTTCAGCTTTAAATCATCCGCTGCGCGAAACTCTACCTGCTCAACCCTTTTCCTAAATGTAAAGCCGCTCGATTCACGTTTGCTCGAATCTGAACACAAAAATAAAAAAAGATGGCCAATTGAGAGAAGCATTAAAAACCCTTCAAAAGTCTGTTGGTTAAACGACATTTATAGAAGCTGCAACAAATAGGGAGCTTACTAGTAATAAATAGGACACTGCTAACTCTGACAGATAACACACTGAATGCTCCAGTCACATTGACAGCAGCTATCGATTAGAAACTATAAAACACTCCTACGATTTCCTTTTATTAATACATACCGACCTGTCATTCCATTCAGAGTATCTTTTCGACGATAAATGCAGAACAAATGATACCCTGCTGGCTGCTGTCTTTAACAATGAACTGGTGCTGCAGGCTAACAACATTTGGCACTGACAGGTCTGTTCCAACTGAAACGGTCCCTCTTCTTCTTCTTTCTTGGCTTTTGCAACTTGTACTTATTGCATATCGCCACCTACTGTACAGCCCTCTTCTTCATTGGAGTTTTACGGCAGTTGGCATCCACAGTGTTGCATTACTGCCGAAACGGTCCCTCTACAAGAGTTCCACGCGGAAATACCGGGTGTGCCTCACGCGTCCTAAGAAGTGAAGCTGCTGGCCCTTTGATCGCCCCCCGGTGGCTGGCTGCAGTACAGGTCATAAACCCCGCCCTCTCTATGTAAACGAATGGGACTTCGTAAAAAAATAATTACGCTTCCAATACAATTTTCCAAAAGATGGTTTTGGTCGTTTAAGGTAGTTGTTATCACACTGATATATGTTAAAGGGGTCATATGATGCGATTTCAATTGTTCCTTTCTCTTTGGAGTGTTACATGCTAGAGGTCTGCTGGACCCGACCGGATTTTTTGCGCTGCGGGATTAAATGGCCAAAACGCGGTAGCAGTCGGTAACTCTGGTGTATTTAACAATGAACTGGTGCTGCAGGCTAACAACATTTGGCACTGACAGGTCTGTTCCAACTGAAACGGTCCCTCTTCTTCTTCTTTCTTGGCTTTTGCAACTTGTACTTATTGCATATCGCCACCTACTGTACAGCCCTCTTCTTCATTGGAGTTTTACGGCAGTTGGCATCCACAGTGTTGCATTACTGCCATCTGCTGTCTCACTTTAACTTACTATACAAGATGGCAGCGGCCATACTGAGATGCTTTTGCTTCACTTTTCTATAGTGGAAGGAATAGGAGACGCGTCGTCCATCTTTTTTTTACAGTCTATGGGTTGTACAGAAACACATTGCATTGAGAATGAATGAATGAAATGTGTTATTATACATTCACTGTTACCTTAACCATTTGTCTAACTGACTACTGTGCAAATATAGTTTAAATAGACAAATGTTGTATAAAGACAATAACAAAATCACATGTATGAATAAATAAAATACATTATATATACTATTTAAATAAATATTAGCTTTTAGAGTTCCATTGATAAAATCATGCACAACATTGCATCTTGCATTTCAGGGTCTTGTCCTTCTGAGAACTGGACTGCTTGACAAGCAATATATAGGGGAGCCCGGGGCTAGTTGTCACAAGTTTTATTCCAGTGAATTTATTTTTGAAAGTCGGTATATGTATAGACACGTGCCTTAATTAAAGTCTTGGCAACTAAATAAGTAAATGCATGCATACATACAGTACATACATAAATATTGAATTGAAACTGGGGATGTTAGCATTTTCATTGTCTTCAGTTGTTTATTCAACAACTATTGCAAAAAAAAAAAAAAAAAAACTACTGATAAACAGATAGTGATATTGGATTTGAAGAACAGATTTCAGAAAATTAATTGTAATTGAAGAATCATCTTTGTGATGTGTGACGATGTGACAGCAGCGGTATTCTGTGAAATAATCGAAGGTTGTAAAATATCGTGAAAGCCTTGAGGTTAGTAGTAAAACGTAATCTTTAAACACAGACTATACCACTATTTTCCTTTGACCACCCCTTTCCTTTTGACCCACTTTCTCAAAGAATAATCCCTTATCTCATAATCCGCACTGCTGGCTGTTGAGAGAGCAGACTGCCATTCAGAGCAAATTTAACATGACATCCTTTACAAAGGATGAGGAGGAGCGCCATGACAATTACCAAAGGAAGGTCTACGAGAATCTACAACACAAGTGAGTGCTCCGCTCGTGTGATCAGTTAGGCTACTTCTCACTTTATTTTATTAATTTCGTCCCAGTCCAAGATCTGTTTATACTTATCTCGGAATTATTTTACTCAGTTATTATTGTACTTTTAAGTTTTCTGTTTACAAAAATTTAGTTTGTGATGTCGAGGTGTCGTGGTGCACGTTGCCATGAAATTTTACAGTAAATTCTGATTTCATTGTGTTCCTGTTCTCCCCCCTCCTAATATTAACTATATGGTCCCGTGTTATCGTCCGGGCAGAACTATTGTTCCAGCCACCAAAGACAGATTCACAAATAACCTGCCTGATTTATCTCAACTGCTCTGTGTACCAATAAGTACACATGAACTAGACGAAATAACTAGCAACATGGGCACTATCTTCTCTAATACATTAGAAGCTGTTGCCCCCATCAAATTGAAAAAGGTTAGAGAAAAAC